TTTTTTATTGTGTTACTTTTGATGGCAAGTTGACAACACTTATTTTTTTATTTTCTTTTTTTTTTTATAACCAAAAAGGTCGAAATCCAAAAAATAAATATGGGGATTGAGGGATTTTTAAAACCTACAACACTCTCGAAAAAAAAAAAAAAAAAAACTACAACACCATTTTTTTTTTTTGTGTAAATTTTTCAAAATGTCCGTGAAGTTTGCGTTTATTTGCGGTGTGCCCCTCTGACTGCCGATTTACCTTGTCGCACCCCTCTGACGACAAATGATGTTTCCAAAAAAAACCTGACGACGTTTGGGCCTGAAGCATGTTTTATATGCCCCTACCGGTACCAGTACCAAATTTTCAGTATGCCCCTACCGGATGGCCATTGAGAACCAGCACAAAAGTATCCCATATTCCCTTATTGGTACTGTTTATCTTTCCAGCGAGCCCCTTGTGGCCGTTGATGACAATCGCAGTCTTTCCTCTGGCCCCGGTTGAGGTGCTACCGGGGCATATAAAAAATTTGGCGATGAGCATGGACACACACACACACACACACGCACGCACACACACACCACACATATACACACACGCGCGCATAGACACACACACACACACACACACACACACACACACACACACACACACACACACACACACACATATAAAATGCACACGCGTGCGTGGGCGATGACGCCAAGAAGAAGACCATGGTGATGGTTAGGAGGTCGACAATCGAGGAGGAGGAGAGGGAGGGGTGACGAGGAGAAAGTTGGAGGAGGGAGAAACGAGGAAAAAGGAGTAGGGAGGGTAAGGACTCTGACGACGACGGACGAGGATAGAGGATGGAGACTGGACGAGAAGAGAGGAGAGCGACAAGGACGGAGGAGGAGGAGGGAGGAGGGCGATGACCATGGACACACAAACACATACACGCGCGCACGCTCCCCTTCGCACGGTAGCCGTATGCACTTCAACGCATCGATCACCCATGCGGCAAACTCAAAGACTCACTGCTGCACCGTTTTTCTGCGGTGGCGCGTGAAATGCCTACCACTTTGAATTCGAATTCCTGCCGCCACTGCTGCAAGGGCATCACAGAAAGATGTGTGCCCCTCGTGAGGGCATTTCAAGGACGGACCGACGAAACACCACCAGCAGTCCAGTAAGGGCATATCGAAAAGTTACGCCCCATGCTGACAGGGGCCTGCGGAAAATTTCAGAGGCCCGAGGGCCTGTGAGGGGCACCACAGGGCAAGTCGGCCTTCACAAAGGCACACTGCAAATAAACGAAATTTCGGGGGCATTTCAAAAACTTTCCCTTTTTTATTTTTGCCTATTTTCCTGGGAAATAAAAATACTGTAAGTTTCAGGGCCGCATGCGGTCGGGCCGGCGGTCAAAATCCCGACCACACGCGGTCAGTGGCCCCGCGGTTATGACTACGGGTGATGCATAGGCCAGCAGCAGGAGCGGGAACCGCTTGAGGACATCTGCCATGAATCACAGCACGGGAGGCATGTACCAAACAAAGCTTGCAGCAATGCACCCAACAATAGCCAACAAAACAGGCTAGGCAAATGACATCAATCGGCCAGCAGTGCTTCAACATCGCCTGTAGAAAAATTGAAAAATTCGACCATTGGACACCACGGCCGGCGCGAGCGCACTGAAAACCCCGCTCCGTGAAGCGCCTTGCAGTTGAAGGACCACCCTCACGCATTTTCACGCCAACAGTAACGGTGGAAGGTTGTTGGGGGCCCGTCGGGTACTGAGGCCGACGATGTCTGCCCAATGGACCACGGAGGACCTGTGCACCAACATCAACTCCAAATTCTCGCTCGAGAACACTTCGTCAATCGCGGCTCCTTTAACCCAAGGGACCTCGTGAGGACCCCTTGTATCCAAGGACGTTTTGGCTGGGGATTCTGAGGAACCCAAGGAAATCTCTCGGGAGCGTTTTCACATTCATCCAAGAAGTTGGAGAATTAGGACGCGGTGTAACAACGCCGATTCCCTGAAAATTGGATTTCCAAGGAGGGTCTAACGAGGCCCTAGGGGGAAACTACACCGGAGTCACAAATATGAGTAATAATTGCAGTATGGGCCAAGATACAGTTTTCAATTGCAGTTCGGGCAATGTACCCAGAGGTCCACTGACCTCAAAACCCTCACCCTCTGGCCGAGGCTCACACTGGCAGAGAATCATGAACCAGTTTCTCAGTTCCCTTCGCTTTCTAGGGGAATGAGCAGTTTATTAAGGGCCCAGTGCCCAAGGCAGTACATAGAATGAAGATAGGCAAAAAAATCAGAGGTCAAGTGACCTCAGACCCCCACTAGAAAATCAGGACGGAATTTCTAAGGTGGACAAACGAGGGCCATGGTTTAGGCCCAAACACAATCCAAAGGAAGTTACTGTATTGAAACTTCATCTACAGTGATATTACCAGAAGCCATAGAAAGAAGCTAAGCATGACATTTCTGTGCTAGCTTAGGCTGTATTTCGAGGCACCTGGGCACCTAACTTGTGCCTGGATACACCCCCAGGTGCCCTGCCGGGTATGAACTCCAGGCAGGGTCCAGGGGAGCACCAGCACGAAAACAAAAAAGAAAAAGAAAATCCAGAAAGTAAAAATGTTTTGTAGAATTGCAATGCAAAGTTGCAAACAACTTTTAGCTGAGGGTCACATCAGAATTCCTCACGGGATTAAAGATGAAAAAGAGAATGACAGAATCAGACTAAGGGCTCTTTTAGCCCCTTAAAAACCAACTTGTACCCCTACCCCCCCCTCTTTGACAGCCAACACCCGAAAAAAAAAAACCCCTGGATTTGGGCTCCTCTGGGTATGCGCAGAAAACCCACACCCAAAAAAACAAAAGGGGAAACTGTGGCTGTGGCTTACTTTTAGTTTGAAATAGGCAAGAAAAGACAAAGTGGCGCCGATGTCATGGTGTGAGTTCAGAAATGTGCAAGTTTAGTGGGGGTCTCAAACTGTGTCCGTCATTACCCGCAGTGACGCTTGGCAGATTTAATGTCGTCTTTTTTTGCTCCATTTTGGAAACTGCTAAAGTTGCCCATTCTGAAGTCGGGTGCCACTCCAACGTACTTGCCCCAAACAAACAAAAAAAAAAGGCAAAAGAAGGGCTGATTTTTATATGCCTGCACGGGCTGCCCTGTGAAGGTGACCCCCAGGCGACTTGCCCGGGCTGCATGCCCGGACTGCATGGACAGACGAGCCAACTAGCCCATGCTGCCCAGCTGCTAACTTTATATTTCTCTGCTTCCTGTTCAAGAAGCACAGAGTCACTGTAGTTCCTCAGGATCCAACTACGAAAAACTGAAATTTATTAGAAATCCATAAAACGGGAACCAGCAAAGGTGGTTCCCAAAGCAAGCCTTTATCACTACTACAAGGACCGAAAGATGGAAATTCAATTAACCACCCGCAAAAGAGTTGTTTATCATCGGCAGCAGAGGGTTGCAATGCTGCGTCCCCCCCCAGCCCCTCCCGCAGTGACTTGCGCTGCGGGTGTATCTGGGTCTATCTTTGTTCTTCTGCGCATGTACTAGATCTTGTTTTCTCCTTGCCGGTGTAAAGTAACCGGACTGCTGCCCCCCAGAATAGAAGGGGCGTGTATGTGGTAAAAAATACAAAATAAACGAGTTGTTAATCCTCACCAAGCCATGGCAAGCCGCCCAGCGCTTTCTGAACCAGCGACTTCAAGCCACCAACGACGAAGCACCATCAGCTCGTCTCAGCCAATCAAGAAATACAACGTGCTTAAAAACAAGAAAGAACAAAATATAATGGTACTGATGGGACTACCTGGTCGGTTCACCTATGAAGTTCGCATACAGACCCGAGTTCCAATACAATGGGAATCAGATGGGACTGATAGAACACTGAATCTCCCTGGGGTCGGCCAGTTGAAGGATACTATCTAAACTTGAAGGTAGTTGCCAGTTTCTGAAAGACAAAAAAGAAAATATAGCATTGCTTACAAAGTTACAAGGTTGTACTATTTTGATTGTGTTGTTCACTTGGCCATTTGGTCCGTAAAAAGAATTCCTTCAAGAAAAAAGACCTACCATTTGGAACTTTGGTATTCCGCTGTATCCAGATATTCCAGGAGTCTAGCCTCCTCGACAATCACATCTGAAGGTCGGTCGCCCCTTATGGAAAGAAGAAGAACAAAGAGCGAAAACTCAATGGGCTTAAAGCACCAGTACACCACACATCGGCCCGTGGGTGTCAGCACGAAACCCGCACCACTTTGGAGGCCACCGTTTTTTTTTTTCAACGACACCCCATCGGAGGCCACCGTTTTTTTTTCTCAACGACGCCCCACGCTGTGCGGTCCCTCCGAGTTTTGCTTGTGGCAACAACAGCTTTCTCCAAGCCTGGGGCCGTGTACTTGCGGTTTAAGCAATCCGTTAGACAAAGGGTGGTCTCGTCTTGCACGGCTCTCACTTGCAATGACACTCCTTCCTGCCATTAACGAAAGCGATCCATCCACCATCGCCTGCGATCCGCCATCACCCGTTCTGGGATCTATTCTTAGCCAGTCATCAACTTCATGACAAGTTAGGGTTAAGGGTTCAGGGCTAGGGCTTAGGGTGGTATAGGGTTTAGGGTTTAGGGTTTTGTCCTGACATTGATTGGCGCTTCATTCAGCAGATTGCCTATCTTCTCCATCAATCCCGGGATCGATTCTTGGCCAGTAAACAGCTTCATGACTTGTTCTCTGTCTGCCGTCAGCACTTCGTTTGCCTGACATTGATCTACCCCTCAGCGGTCTGATTGAGTCTCCTTCCCGACGTTCCAGTAAGTTCAGTAACCAACGTCTTCGCCAGTCATCAGCTCCAAGTTCGTGATAAGATCCGTCCTTCCCTTCACTAATCACCTTGAAGTTCACGATAAGATCCGTCCTTCCCTTCACTAACGACTCTTCTTCCCGCCGTTAATGAAAGCGGTCAGTGCTTCGTTTGCACGACGTCGATCTGGGCTTCATTCAGCAGGTTTACTCTGAGACTCCTTTCCTTCCCGCCACTACTCGTTCGCGCGTTCTGGGATCACTTCTCTTCTTCGCCGGGCATTAGCTTCATGGCGATGAGATCTCTCCTTACCGTCATTAATGACTCTCCTCCCGTCTCCATTAAGGAAAGCGGTCAGCGATTCACTTGCCTGACGTTGATCTGCGCTTCACTCAGCTGATTGCCTATCTTCTCCACCAATCTGGACATCGTTGGCCTGGATTGATCGTTCTTCCGAACGCACTCGCTCCCCAAAAGAAGCGTTTCGGTAACCAAACGGCTGAGTCGGAATACCGCCGCCTGATCACGCAGGCAAGGCTCCAGAATTTGGTACGCCATCCCATCACCGACGACACGTAATTCTTCAAGAAATGGCTCAGCCCAGTCCACTAGCGTCTCCCATCCCACTCCAGAGGATGCCTTCGACACCGCCTTCCGGCCCGTCAGGAGTTCCAGCAGGATAACCCCAAAGGCGTACACGTCGTTCTTCTCCGAGAGAATCCCTCCGATCATGTACTCCGGGGACATGTACCCGAACGTCCCCGCCATGTGCAAGGTCCTGACCACCGAATCACGCTCCGTGCCGAACACTTTCTCGTCCATAGTCGCCAGGCCGAAGTCCGCCACCACGACGTGCAGCCTCTCCCCGGAGCCATCGCCAAGCAGCACGTTGCTGCTCTTTATGTCCCGATGGATGACTGGCGGGTCGGCGCCGTCGTGAAGGTAGGCGATGCCCTTGGCGATCTGCAAGGCGATGCACATCCGCTCCACGAGCGTCAGCGGCGGTATCGAAGCATTCCCCGGCACGGCCTTCTCTCGCTCGTGCAGACGAGCGAACAAGCTCCCCCCTGGAAAGTAGGGGTAGACTAAGATGGACCGATCGCCCTCGTGGCAGAATCCGACGAGTCGGATGAGGTTGCCATGATGGACTCTGCTCAGCGTGTTGACTTCCGCAAGAAACATGCTCCTTTTCCCCTCTGTCAGATCGCCGGTCATCACCTTGATGGCCAACGSCTTCCCGTCATCCATCGAACCCCAGTAGACATTACCAAACGCCCCACCGGGTCCGATACGGTAGCTCTCGCTGAAGTTCTCAGTGCAATGGGACAGAGCTGCAAGTGAGAACTGCCTCACCTGCACGGGATGAAGCCCCTCCTCTCTCTGTCGTCGCCCCCGCTCATCGTTCCCCGACCACGAACCAGTCGTTGGAATCGTGTGCCCGCTGGGGTTCGTCCTCAAGTCGCTCGTCAGCTGAGCCTCTTTAAGACCACCGAGCCGTCTCTTTCGGTGTAATATGAGGAAGCCTGCGCAACCGGCCACGCCAAGGACTGCGAGAATAGAGAGCGGGAGAGAAACCATGAAAGCTAGATTGCGAGCTCCCCCTGGCTTCGTTGGAGCTACGGAAGTCTCAATAGGAGTCCGGGAAGCGGGAGTGGGAGAGGAGTCAGAAGTGGGAAAGGTCGAGGCAGGCGGGAGCGGGGCGCTCGGGGCATTAGACGACGAAGAAGGCGGCGAGATCCCTTCTAGCGACGGCGGCGCAGAGCCACAAGGGTGCAGCAGAGAGGCATTGAGTTTCAGCTCAGTCACCGAGCCAGATCTCGACCCGACGTACAGGTAGTAGTCGCTGCCCGACTGAACCAGCCGGACGATCCAAATGTTTGGGTACGAATCCATGGTCACCACCGTGCGAGCCGTGGAGCAGGGCGAGTCGAGCTGCAGCCAGCGAAGCAAGCCGTAGAAGACGTCCACAACGAAGATGTTGCAACCGTCGGGAGTCATGGCCATGTTTGTCAAGTTGTTGAAGGAGCAGTTGAGACCATCCCCATCGAGCAGTCCTCTCGAGCCCGAGCCCGCGATGAGCACGGGCTCCGCAGTTCCAGAGGTACGAGGATCGATTCCCCAGACACGAAGTTTCTGCGAGTCTATGAAATAAAGGCAGCGCTCGTCTGAGGACACCGTCTCTTGGAAGATCAAGACTTCCTTGATATCGGGATTCCCCTGTGGAGGGAATCTCCTTACCTCAGTCCATTCCGCGCCCTCCGTCGGCATTCCTGTCCCTTCCTGCACAGGAACGGTTATGATGGAAGCGGTTGTCGTTCCTTGAGCTGCGTACAGACGCGTCTTGTTCCGATTGAACGTCAGAGTGGTCACGTAGCTTGCGGTGAGGGAAGTAGATATTCTACTCCCATTTTGTGTGGACAAGGCGAAAATCTTCGAGTACACTTCCTCCTTCAAAGTGGGGTTGGCTAGGAGGATTAGGCTGTCGCCCAATCGCGTGATACCCATCGCGCACACGTCGGCCATCGACACGGTGTCGTTTGGCCCAACGAACTGGATGAACGGTGTGCTGACAGCGGAACCGCTGACTGAGGCGAAAGGCCACCAGTAGCTGAGTAACTCCCCCTGAGGAGCATACCCGCTAGTCGCTTGAGCGAGATCCGATTTCCAGAAGGACATGCGCTGATGAGAGAGCTGGTTCTCGACGAAGCAGACCTCCCACAGATAGACGTACAACGATTCAGAAGTGCTTTGTGGATCAACCGCCAACTCAGAGACAAAAGGGAGGCACCCTGATTGGAGGAACGGAGGGAGGGTAGGGCGAAACCAAACCAGTCTGCTTGACGGAAACAAGGTTTTGTTGCGCGGAATCATTCCAGCCGGCGGCGGAGCCGCCTCTGACTCTGCGGAGTCGGACGGGGCCGCCGCAGACGAAGGCGGAGCAGACGCGGAAGCCTCCGCAGGCGAAGACGGAGCAGCCGACGAAGCCTGCGCAGGCCAAGATGATGCAGCCGCCGAATCCGCCGCAGGCTTAGGCGGAGAAGCCGACGAAGTTGCGGACCCCGATGATGGAGATGCCGACTTAGCCACAGTCTCGACCAACACATGCGATCTGGATGGCGATGAGAGGAGGCCGCGTCCAGGCTCCACCTCAGCAGCTTGAGTAATAAAAGGAGGAGGAGGAGGTATCGCGTCATGGACCAAATTTCCCTCGGTGTTGACCGCGTGAACACCGGGACTCGTCCCCGTCAGCAGCAGAAATAGGACGACAAAAGATCCCATGGCTCCAATACGCTGACAGCCAACCAGTCGATTGAATGAACACATGAGCTGGAGGAGGCAGGACACATCATGAACCTGCCCTGATTGCGTGCGAACGTCCATCGCGCCTCTCTCTCTCTCTCTCTCTCTCTCTCTCTCTCTCTCTCTCTCTCTCTCTCTCTCTCTCTCTCTCTCTCTCTCTCTCTCTCTATTTGTATATTTAAATATACCCGCACACGCAATCTAACAGATGATAAATATATAGCACACACCAAAACAAGCACAAAAACAAGGCACTGGAAACTAGGTCCCGTGGTCCCAGGCACTGGAAACATAGCTCCCGCGGTCCCTATCTACCATCCTCTGCTATACCACAGCCTAGGGAACGGGCTTGGAAGAATAGGCAGGGGAATAAGACCCTGTTGAGCTCGACTCTGTAGTTCAACCCCGTGAAATGACTTGAGAGGCGTAGAAATTAAGGGGGGAAAAAACCGAAAAGAAAAAAGACGAGAAGAAACAACTTGAATGAAAAAAAAGATGCAAAAATAAATAAATAAAACTAGTTCTCACTATTAATTTACTTGCAGGAAGCAACGCTTTCACCACAAAGGTTGCCTTTCCCCCCCTACGCCCCGCGCCCCCCCCCCCTCCCAAAAAGAAAAAAACGAAAACTAAAACGACTACCGTTCACCTCGACCACGCCGGAAAGCGACGACTCGGACTCGGAGAAGGAGAGAGGAAAAAAAACAAAAACAAACAAAACACTCACTTCTGTCTGGCAGATTGGAAAACTAGAGAACGAAAAAAATTAGGTGTAATATTTTCCCTCCAGCTGCTCTCTCTACATCCACGCCGCGGACGATTAAGATGGTTCACGCCATTAAGATGGCCCCTGCGCAAGGATGACACGCATAAAATTGATAGAGAAATGGTCCAAATCTTTAGGTCCGAAACCAAGAAAAAAAAAAAAACAAAAACAAAACAAAAAAAAAAAAAAACCCTTAGACCAAGGGCCAGGTCCCACTTGATCTGATCCTTCAGTTCCGCCCGTTGATCTTCATAATCTACGGTCAGAAATTTGAGAATTCGTGTATTAAGTGGGACTCGGCCCCAAGACCAAAAGAGCATAGACGGCCGGCTTTTTCTGACGTTTTTCACATCTCTCTCGCTAGTGCAAACCGAAATTACTGCATTCATTAATAAAGATTGCTCCTTTTCCAAAACGAAAAGAAAAGAAAAAAAAGATAAACGCATTCAGAGCATGCTCCCATTAGCAGTCGGATAGGAGTGTGGCCGATCCAGTGTGACACTGAGTGGCAGCGGCCTGGCATGTTCATTACGAATTTCTGGGGTGAGAAAACAGGAGAAAGGCAAAAAAAAACAAAAAAAAACAGAGACCTCCCACCTGAAATCACGGCAGAGTGCTTCCCAGCCATCAGATCAAAAATGATCTGATGGTGGTGGTTGCAACAACAGTGAACAAAGTAACTGCCACATTTTCTGGAATAAACTCAACTTCTGTCAGCAGTGATCCTGACGCCTTCCATATACTCCGTGATTGAAGGAGGGCTCCACCCAATGAGATAATTGCACAACAGCAAGCAAAATACCGACAATCTTCTATCCCGTGGGCCTATGGCCGACCGCACTCTCTTTTGGGGTTTGGCCATACCCCCAACGAATTGAAAAGATTTTGGCGGCAAGCTTCCTTTGCACCTGCAAGCCCAGTGTTAAGGAGAGGAGGAGGGGAACTAAGATCTCCTTCCTTTTTGAAGTAATACATGTAAATTACTGACCGTGGGATCACGAGTACTGCACGGCAGTCGTCGGACAAACGTAAATGAAGGGCAATTTCTTGGGGGAGAAAAAGAAAATAGAGGGCAATGAAGCATTAGGAAAAGCGAGAAAAAAAAAAAAAAAAAAAAAGAAACAGGCGCC